GGTCTGCCACGCCATGCGGATCACCTCCTAGGCAGGCGGGGATTGAACTCATGTGGAAGTGGCTTTAGCTTCTGAGTGCTGTGCTTTAACCTGCTGCACCACCAGGGAGGGCCTCAAGCACTTTTTATCTCCTTTTTCTGCCCTCCCTCATGTTTTCTTACTTGCCTTCTACATACAATTTACTTCCTTAAAATGTGTATTGTTTTTCCCAAAAGACACAAAAACTGATTCAAATAGACACCTGCACCCCCATGTTTATTGCTGCTTTATTTACAATTGGAAAGACATAGAAACAGCCCAAATGCCCAAAAGTAGATGACTGGATTAAAAAAGATATAGTACATATACACATGGAATATTACTCAGCAACCAAAATAAATAAATAAATAAGCACATGCCTTTTACAGCAACATGGATGGAGCTAGAAAAGATCATACTTAGTGAAATAAGCCAGAAAGAAAAGGAAAAATACCAGATGGTTTCACTCATAGCAGGAGTATAAAGCAGCAGCAAATAATAATAATGAACAGCTATATATCAGAGACATTTTATGGGGGTAGAGTGGGGAATGGGATCAAAAACAGTGGGGGGAGGGAAATACACTGGACTATGGTGATGGCACATGGATGATTTGGTGATGGGAAACCCAAGGGACTACAGCTGAAATGGAAACATGCACAAAATTATGTAGAAATAAACATCATTATTTTTTAAAAAAATGTGTATTGCCTGTCTCCTGATGAGAATGCAAGCTCTGAATGGAATCTGTTTTGTTCACTGATGTAACCCAAAAGCTTGAACACTGCTTGAGACATAGTAGGTGCTTGATAAGTATTAAATAAGTGAATGAATGAATGAATGAATATTATTAAGCTTCCCAGTGTGGCTCTATACCTACACCTGATGTTATTCTATTGTTTTCTTTATCTCCTTGTGTCCAGATTAGAGGGACAAGATACAAATCCATTTACTGCATGATATTAAAAGACTGTTTTGCTCAGTAACTGTCATTTTTTTTCTGGTTTACTGGGACACTAGGCTCTGGCCACATGTGCTCCTCATTCCAAACATGTTATGAAGATTGCCTACATCTCAGCCTTTGCTCTTAACTTTGCTAGGAAGTCAG